GGCCACACGGGCCCCACCGTGGCCAAAAGATCGCTCTCAAAACCTGCTTGTACCGGGAAAACGACCCCGAGGCGCATGATTCAACCCGTTCCTCCACCCCTGGAGGTGTTCAAGGCCAGGTTGGACGGGGCTCGGAGCAACCTGGGCTGGGGGGAGATGTCCCTGCCCAGGGCAGGGGGGGGACTGGGGGGGCTTTAACCCAAACCCTTCTGTGATTTCCAGTTCCCCCCTTCTCTCCTCCAGCCCTGGAGAAGCCATGGCGGGAGCAAGGCCAGCCCTTGTCTAGCAAATCCAAAGTCTGATTTCATCTCTTCGTGGGGAAGAGGTGGGCTCAGGAAGCCACAGGGAGTTCCTCCGGCTCTTCCCGTGAGCAAAGATTAGAATTTGACATGAATCTCTGTAAACAGAACAAACCTGATCTCACACTGGTTCCAGAACCGAGTCAGCTGCGCGTTGCTTTCCCATAACAATATTTGAATACTAAGGAAATAAGATTGCAAAACAACATGTTAATAAGAAAGTAGGGGGTTAAAAAGAAGATAAGAAATCAAAGGTTCAGTTTTAAATCTCCCAGCCTTTAAGCTATTGCTCTGTAGTCCTAACTGAGATTTGCCGGGAACCAGGGCGACATCCACGCTCGGATCTCCGAGCGGTAGTGCCACGCAGCCAGCGGCAGGGCCCCAGCCTGCAAGCGTTGGTGGGCACTGGGAGGAGCAGCACTTTCTGGTCTAATCTGAGAGGACTTATGATACATCCGTGCAATGTCTCATGGGCATCTTTCTGTTTCCATATGAGTATGGCTGATAACAGATAGCAAAAATGAATTGCGTGCTTTTGGGAAAGTTTTTTAAAAAAAAAAAAAACACCACAACAGAAAACCATACAAGACTGTGTTGGTGACATCACTTTGTTCTGACTTGAAACCTATATCGTCAAAACATTACAGGTGTAATCATGGCCACATGTAAACTCCTGTATTTTCACTTTCTTCCCATCTAGTACTGTTGACTTCATTGGCAGCTGCTATTTCACTGAGATCTGCAAATGCAAACTGAAGAACATCGCGTGTTTAAAGTGGTAAGAATGCCATTCAGTGGCACCACCACCCCCTCAAGCATGCCGCAATACTGTCTAACCTCCTCCCTGTAGGCTACTGCAGCCCAAGAGTTAAGGGATGAATGAACAGATTGCATACTCTATTTCAAATTTAATGCTGCTTGATAGAAACTCAGCCCACTACTTCTGGGCATGGCTGCCAGTCTATTTCTGTGCAAGTCCCAAGTGGAAATGTGACAACCTTGTCAGTAGTCTGAGTATATGGGAAAGCTTGCGTGCCACCTGCCTGATTAAATGTCTGCTTCAACACTGAGATAATTGTGTGAATAAGGCCGCAGTAAGAAGTAGTTACTCATATTCTAATTAATAGAACATCCTCTTGGCAGATCTAGTTGTTGCTAGCAGATGGAACATGCTGTCACTAAGTTCTTGGAGTTCTTTTATCCTCTTTATTAATGCCTGATATTTAAGAGTAAAACCAACAACTCTCAAATAGCTCAGTTATTTGAGACAATCATTTCAGCTTCATCATAAAGACTTTTACCTTCTTCAGATTTAAACAGTGGGGGGTTGCGATAGGAACACAGTATTTTACTTTTTAGACAAGGCTTCAATAGCCTGAGTTTTGTTACTCCTGCTGCTGATACTCTCCTGTGCCCAGTGCTTCTGTACAGGTGGATTTTATGTGCGTGATGAACTTCTACATTGATTCCAATGAAATCACTTGCCTCCAAAAAAAAAAATATATATATACAACACCATTTGTTAGTATGTAAACTAATCTGGATCACACAATTTAGGTTACTAAATGGTTCTCTGTGCCAAAGATCTAAAACTTAGATATTCTGTAACTCCTGTTCCCTAAATATTTAAGATGCTTGTTTAACTATGTTCCCTTAACTTTATCAAAATAGGAGCATTATATAATGGTCCGGTACCATGCCTATTTTACATCAGTTTGAGCTGGAAAAGCCAACGATATCTATCTTTTCATCAGGAATTTGTGTTGCTCATTATTTCGTTTATCTTTCTAGCGGTAACATTGTCGGTTATCATGTGATTTCTCCCTGCAAACCTTGCCTGCTGTCCTGTAATAACGGCCACTTCTGGATGTTTCATAGCCAAGCAGTCTTTGGCATCAACAGACTAGACCCTTCTGGTAAGGAACACATATGTTTCCTTCGCTTCCTTAAAATCTTGAATTCTAAGTCCTCCTTCTAATGAGGCGTCTCAGTATAGTTAAAGCATATGGAGGGAGCGCAGCATATGGAGGCGTAAGGCAAGCGGTGCTGTACTGCCGATCTAGCCAGCTACTTTGGGGGAGGTAGTTGTAGCTGCTTTGTAAATGAAAATTTCCAAGTGGAAATTTATCTTCATCAGAAAACTCAACCTAGCCCTTCTGTGGACAGAAGTCAGGGTTTTCTGAAGCAGTATTATAACTACTACAGACGCAGCCACCAGCTGCTATTTATAGCGGTACGTATAGCTTTACTGTCCTACCAGGCAGCTGTCCAACGGGCACTCTTTTTGGGTGAGTCATGTTGTCACTTTGACCCTATATAACTGAGCCCTCATTAGCTCACGCTGAAGTTACAGCTCACGCTAGCTAGTGTCTTCAGCGAGGTGCTGTTTGGATGCCAAGTGTCTAGCGTAATTCGCCTTGAGTCCTCAGGAATGCGGAGCGTTCTGACAAATCATTTCTCCTCCTTGCAGGTGGCGGTAGCTTATTGTCAAATCCTTTCAGTGTCACCTGTGTTTCAGATCAATGCATTTTAAAATAAATCAGCCGTGAGGGGATTATCAATAGCTACATGAATTAGCTATATAAATACATCTGTGGGCAGGGAATTATTCTTTGAATTATGCTGTAAACAGCAACACTTACAAGATCGCTTTGGAAGAAAAATAGGAAACAGTCTAGATATATTTATCATGAACGTGACTTACCAGGTTTTGCAATGATTAGTTATTTTCTCTGAAAATAGACAGTTGTGCAACTTAAAAATAAGGTCATAATCCAAAAATACTTTGTTTTTTTCCCTTTCTTTGTCTTCTTACCTCCTTCCCACCAGGTGTGAATGTATTGCTCTGGGGCAACTTGCCAGATTTGGAGGAAAGCACAGATGAAGATATGTCCTGCATCTCTGAGGAGGAGTATATCAGATAACATTTATCTACAATATAGTACAGTGTCTTCCCTGGATTTGTTGCATCACTGGTTTGGATTTTTTTTTTCCCTGCTGGCCCATCAGACCTTAAACAATCCAGGAAATCTGGAAAACAATCCTAAAAAAAGAAGGTATCATCTTCCTCTTCACCATAGCCTTCCTTACACACTAGGCAGATTCAAGAGTCTATCTTCTGACTCGACACACACCTTCGTTAGATCTGGAAACGCAGATGGAAGGAGCATTTACCAAGGTCTAGGTCTCTCTTGTTTTTTACAACTAAGTCTCAACAGTTGATAGTCCTTCTTAACCATGTTTTTTCTTCCTTCCTAAGACAGTATTCACAGAGCAAAGTCAGTTGCTCTAAGTACAGTTTAAAAATCTTGAAGTTCTGAAAGAGCTCTGCTTCTGTGGTCACACAGACCATTGCCCAGAGTTTCTGTTCCGAGTATACAGTTGCTGAATAAGTGGCTTAAAGTATTGGAGCTTTGGCTCTATGATCTGGTTCCCGCTCTCAGCAGCCTGTTCTCTGGGCACCAGAGGCATGCTAGAATGCTCCCAGTTGTGGACTGGGCAGCTGTCTTACAGAGGCTTCCCATCTTCATCTTTCATTACTTTTTAGGATCATGTTTCTGTAGAGATCGAGTTCATCCCCCCCCCCAATAAAACCTAAATACTGCAGTTACTTAACATCTAATAGAACTTCAAGACTACGCTGGAGTTTCTCTTAACGATAAAATCCGTCCAGTTTTTTGTGGTTTTTTTTTCCCTGCCTTATAGGCAAAACTGTACTCAGTTATCCGATTGGGTCTTTTTAGAGAAAGAAAAAAGAGATCAGGTTGATCAGGTTAAGTATTTGGTGCTCATGGCTAACCTTACATGCTGAGGCATACGGACAGTCTGGTTCCTGTAAGAAGCAACAGATTGAAAGCTCATTATCTGAGTTGTTATAGCCATAGTATTTAACTTACGAATTAATTACTGTCCCCTTCAGCCCGTCGCCTGAAGGATCACCTTTAGGAAATTCAAGGTACAATAATATAAGTGAACAGAGTACACTTGTAAATTTGGATTGATGCTGAATAAATTGTGCTATAGCCTCTTGTGATACTTGGAAGAGGTGCAATGAAGGCAGATCTGAATTGTCTTAGTATTTTTACTGTATTTTATATATTTCTTAATTAATGGTACTACCTCTTCTGCATTGTTTAAATGTACGTTGGTATATATATGTATGTGTGTGTATGTCTGCTCATTAAATAAAAGTTGTGGACTCCATAGTCTTCTGGGCTGTAATAAATACAGATGTGTAAAGATATTAGGTAATAGAAACAATGAAAGAGCATCTTGGAGTTGTATTAAAATAGTTGAATAATTAAGGTCTTACTACTATGATTTTGGTTTAGAGACACCTGCCCCCCTCCCCCCCCCCCACCACCTTCTTTTTAGACTGACAAACCCGACTGTTTCTCAGTCCTATAGGTTTTTAGTCAGTTAACTCTTCTGTAACAGAACATCCCATTTTTTGCCCGTTTTCCATGCTGCATGAATTCGATCGTGTTACGACTACAGTATTAAGCTGGCAAGGTGACATTTCACACAAAGATTTTTTCCAACAGAATTCATGAGCTAAAAATACATCTGATTGTTTTTGTGTAAGTAGCACAATAGTTCAAATAAAATTCCCATAATATAGTTCTGCTTTGTTGCAAGTTCACCGCTTGCCATTTATAACCTTCACAGTTCCGAGTCAACTCTGTGTCAGAGCTGACTTTAGAGCTGTTCTGCCACCGACAAGCAGAGGACTATAATTTTTTCACATCAAGTCAATAATTCTGGTTTTGCTCCCTATCTGTTTGTACACATAGAACTGGAAGTTCTACTATGAGCTACTTTAATTACACAGGCCTGTTTGAGCTAGTTCGTCTCAACCAGGCACCAGCTTGAAATAAAAAATGAGCCAACTTTTAAGTAAGTTCAGTCTTTTTTTTTTGACAATAAAGAAGATGTAGACATTCTATACGAAGTAAGCAAACATCATCTATTGCTGTCATGAATGGTACCAAACAAACTAATCATGTCTGGAGTTACTTCTTTCTGTCTGAAATGAAAAGGAGAACTGACCGAGCAGTTTGTGGTAAAGCCACTGCTCCTTATTCACAGGGCCCTCATGTTTTGGGTTACGTTTCCAAGGATCGCCCT